CCTCTCCATTCACTAAGGATATCTCCCAGTGAGTTGAGTTTTACCTAAATTCTACTGCCATCCATTATCCAGGTTATCTCAGCATTGTTCTAACCAAAAGCATCATTGTTCATTCCAGGTCAAATGAACAAGTTTAAAGAAATGTCCTACTTTCAGCTCTTCTTCAGATAATTTATGCAAACACAGGTATCTTCTACATGCAGATATGTATTAGGCCATAAAATTCACTATTCCAAACATCATTTTCTAGCTCAGGAAATCTTTATAGAGTACTGATCTTCACAGAACTAAATGGATGGCCCCAAGAAACACTATTGCAGTAATACTAGGTCAGAAATCTTCAGATCTAATACTCGTCTACAAATATTTTCATTCTTTCATAAATTTCATCAAATTATTCTGTATTCTGTATACAGTCCTGAGTTAGTGACATTTGTTTTTGGGGAGAGAGAGTGTGAGCACAAGCTACTGGGGATCAAATCCTGGGGCGCTTATTACTGAGCTACATCTCTGGTCCTCTTTATTTTTTATTTTGAGACATGGTGTAAGTTGCCTAGACATGACTCAAACTTGCAATTCTCCTATCTCAGCACCTCTCTGTGCTGAGATTACAGGGATGTGCCCCACTGCACCTAACTATTCTTAATTTCAAATCTTCATATGTAAAAACACTATTCATCTTACTAAACTTGACTGAAAAGCTATTTTTCATTTTAAAGCGCACATGCTTTGTATAACATATGCTGAATGGAACTCCTTTCAGTAAAGACTCATAAAGTGTTATTTATCTATTTATGTATTTTTGGTACCGGAAATCAAACCCAGGATCTTGCACTTTCCAGGCAGGTGAGGTACTGCTGAACTACATCCCCAGTCCTAATCATTTTTAATAATCCAAGTCTTACAAAAATGTCAGCAGCAACTTAAACTAATAGTTTAAGCACTTTATGTATCAGGATGTGAAATGCAATAAATAAGTCTGAGGTATTTCATAACCGAATAAATGACTATTTCAAACAGTATTTTTATCTAGGTTCTTTTTTTACCAGAGACTTCAATAAAATATGTGTATTTCCACCCAAAGTCACAGTGTGCCACCTAGTGCTGTCTAGAGATTTTACAGAGCACAGTTCAATACTGTTTCAACTGAAAACAATAAACATCAGTGTTGAGTCACAATCTCTACATCTGAGCCTTACAATACCCACTTTAAGAAAGCAAGTGCACTGAAACTTCATGGAGTCTACATATTCTGAGACTTGCGCTTAGGCTGGGAGAAGAAACCTAGGTTTCTTAGGGTAAAACAAATTTCAATAATTTCTAGGCTAACAACTTTTATCATCATTTTGAAATGGCGATGAACACTCCTTAATAAATGTTCATGGCCAGGGATTTATCTCAGTGTCATAAGTGCCTGCCTGGCAGGCACAAGGTCGTGAGTTCAATCCCTGGTACCAAAAAAATTTTTAAATTAAAAAATAAATAAATGTTAGGGGCTGAGGATTTAGCTCAGTGGCATAAGTACCTGCCTTGCAAGCAGGCAGTCATGAGTTCAATCCCCGGTACCAATAAAAAAAAAAAAAAAAAGATTCATAAAAAAAAAAATAAATAAATGTTCATGCCTCCAAACATTCTACTCTACACATTTTCTTCAAGATCTATCCAAACTATTGCTTATCCATAAAATGAAATTCCCATACATTTATAAAAATGGTTTCTTAGTCTTTTTTTTCTCTTAAATTCTACTACCAAAACCCTTCATATTTTGGACAACATGAAGACAAGATTACCAGTGAATACCATGAGTACATTAAAATTCTACAAATAGTAATGCTGGCATACAAACTATGAAACTTAACTGACAAACCATGTAACGGGTACAATTTCCCAAGTATTACAAGATGACGAGCTGGACTCCTGTTCAGTAATTTATGGTAACTTTTGGTACCATAATATTGGTATTTTACATCTTGCTAAAGATAAAACTGAGGCAGGCTGGATTATAAAAGAAAAAAATAAACACCTGGTCTGAGCAACTATGCTTGAGGGATGCTGTTCTAGCACATTAATCTATACCCAAAGTTAAAAGTTGCTAAATCTATCTCCTAAGCATGCCTTAAAAACATAAATCAAGAGCCAAGTGTGATGGGATACATCTGTAATCCCAGAACTTGGCAGGCTGAGACAATCTTAACTTTCAGGCCGACTTGGGCTATGTAGTAAGTTTGCAATTTCAAAGAAGCAGTCATGGCAGAGAACCCAAGTAAAGTAGGGAGACAAAATGTGTCCAAAGCCATATCAGGCTTCAGACTGGAAATTAAAAGTAAATTCACTCTAACATTAATAATGAACCATAAATATATTAACCAGTTTTAAACCATCTCAACCTTGAATGGATTAGAACAAACTGCAACTGTCAGTGCCCCTAACCATCAGCAGCAAACATAATAAATCATCTAGGAACAAGACATTATCATTTTAAGCATCAAATTATTTGCCCAGTCAATCAATACGGATGGGTCTTGACTTTTAATGGCTCCATTTGTGATTTTTTTTTACTTCATAAAGGTATGAAAATGATATGCATTTTGTTATAAATTCTGCTTTGAATTTTTAATTTCAATCTTTTTGCAGGCTAGTACTATGTAGCGTGTCTGTGTGTGTCTGTGTGTGTGTGTCTCTCTCTCTCTCCCCCTCCCTCCCTCCCTCTGTGTGTCTCTCGGTATCTCTCTCTATCCCTCTCTCTTACATAATGCTGGCAGTGGCCACAGGCTGCAGCTCCCACTGCCACAAGATCATAAAGGTAAACCACCAACACTGTACACAGTGTCTATTGCTAAGCTATGGTATAGGTTAAGTGTAGTATACACATTTCCAACTTAAAGTACTGTCAACTTACAATGCGTGTAGTAAGACATAACCCCAATGTAAGTCAAGGAGTATCTGAAATGTCCAACATTTAAATAAAAAATTACTAGACATGCCAGGCCCAGTGGTGTGTGCCTGGCTACTAGGGAAGGTGATATGGCAGGATCACTTCAACCCAGGAGTTCAAGGACATCCTGGGTAACAGTAAGACTCCATCTTGGGAAAATGTGCAAACATACCAGAAAACAAGTAAATGACTGAAAACAAAAAAAATTAGAGGAAATAGAAATATACCCACATATGAGCAAAATAATGACAATATCAAAGATTTTAAGTCTAATTAAAATGACCTAAAACAAAAAAGAACAAAGGCCTCCATCATCAACAGAAGAATAAACAAAGAAAATGTGATATACATGCACAATGGCATAGTACTGAGTCATAAAGAAAAAATCATGTCATTTGCAGGAAAATGGATAGGACTAGAGCTGTCATGTTAAGTAAAACAAGCCAGGCTTAGAAAGTCAAATATCTCATGTGAGGAATCTAGAAAAAAGTTTTTAAAGAGAAGTGAAAGAAGCTGAGGGAGATCAGGAGCAAGGAAGAAAAGGAAAGGCTGATGGAGGAAACAATTAGTTCGATACATACACAGATACACGATATGAAACCCACTGCTCTCTACAACTAATTGTATTAACTTTTTTTTAAAAAAACTGACTTTAAAAAAGATTAAAATTTTCCACCAAGAACTAAAAATCTAACAGTAGAAAAGCCTGGCCATTCCCTCTATTAATTGAGTAGCCAAGGTTAACATTGAGCAGGCTGCATCCCCATCAGACACCTCACAGTGCACTGAGAACATACTGTTACCATGGAATATGGTGCCCAAAATGCGAATGCTGACTCCAATCATGAAGAAATAGAATATAAATCAAGGGAAATTCTTCAAAATAACTGAATAATTCTTCAAAACTAGCCAAGCCAAGAAAAACAAAGAAAGGCTGAGGAACTGTTCCAGATTAAAGGAGACCAGACTCTTTACAACTAAGTAGATCAAAATAAAACACTCAGAGATACTGAGATGATGACAAGTATCTGCTCTGGATTATATAACAGATGTCCAAATTTTGATAGATGAATTTTGGTTATATAATTATGAAAATATCTTTTTTCTTAGGTAATGCTCACTGAAGTATTTTGGGATCAAGGAGTACACTGACTTCATATACTTTCAAATAGTTCAGTTTATAACCAAAATAACCTCACTGTGAGAATTTTTAGAATAATGCAGGCGAAAGGAAAATGACAGATATGAAAGCTCAAAACCTTAGAATTAAGGGGCAGAATAAAATGTGAGGGATAAGAAAGGTCACAGGCAGGTGCACTACCATCTTTGCACCACAGAAAGAAACTCTGCCTTGGGCCCCACACTGAAGTTTGAAGGGGTCCACCTACCAAAAATAAGATACAAAATCAGTAACCCACTGTATAACCAGAAATTAAGAGAAAGAGACTCAGAAATTGAACTTGTTCCCCCTCTATACACCTAGACAATGAGGGGAGGGATATAAGGGGTGATTCACAGCCTTTATGCTAAGAAAACCAGAGTACAAATGTATCTACTTGTGTTTAAGGGTAGTCATACCATGTTTCCCAAAGGAAGTGTCTAGACAGACTGCATTCCCCATTAACTCCATTCCTCTTCCTCTTCCTCAGTCAGAGATATTTAAGAAAATAATCAGAACTGCCTAGAAATCTTGAGCTGGAAAGTAAAAGTGTGCATGCCAGGCAGCTGCTCACTTTAGCGCCCTACCCTGGACAGACTTGCCACATCAGTTCCCAGCTGGTCAGCTCAGCCCTACCTGGCCTGGGGAGAGTACACTCCCTTCAGGACTGGGCCCTGATGGGAAAGCGTCCTGGCCTGTACCTTCTCATAACTCTTTACTATTAAGACATGAAAGACTCTGGCTATCATCTGTATGCCTATCCTAGTCCCACAAGGGGTAAGGACATGCCTGAAGACACAGCAAAAGTTCCTGAAGCAAAGGCTAAATTTAAAAAGATGATATGTGACAAGTGGATGGAGGAAAGAGGAAAACCATGGTTAGTCTTAAGTCAGCCTGATCACTCACCATCATTCTTTAAATCTCTTCTGTGCCAAGATCATTTACCAATATTTAATCTTTAAATCTCTTCTGTGCCAAGATCTAAAACCAGGGGGTATGACACCTAAAATAAAAAATACACATAAACCTTTAGTTATGACATTTTTCAGAAAATCAAATGTATTCATCAAAAGATATAAAGCTCAACCTCATGAGTTTCACTTCACATTAAACACTCAAAAACATCACTCCTTTTCCCTGCCTGTTAGTAGCTAACAAAAAGTAACTAAGACTATGATATAACAGGCTTTAAATACTGTACACTAAGTAACAGCACCTTAATGCTTTCCAAAAAACAAAAGAAAATGGGACCAGGTGTAAAGGCACACACCTGTAACCCTAGCACTTGGGAGCCTGAGGCGAGAGGATCACAGTGAGTTCAAGGGCAGCCTAGGCTACAAGTGTCTTAAAAAGACAATGATAAATTAACAAACAAAGTATATGTGCTGCCAAAGCAAGCAGCATAAATAAAATTTTTAAAAACTAAAATGGAAAAAACAAGTGTTGTTTACATGAGTAGGTAACATATTCCAATCCAAAATCATTAAGCTGTTTTTACTACAGTATGCATACACTTTATATCCTGACCCATACATTGCCTCTGCCTCCCAAGTTAAGACTATCTTTACCAATTATGTATTTACATTGAATAGATCTTACCTTTTAGGGAGCCTACTTAATGTGGCCAAACCTTTACTTAAATCTAAAGCACAGAAACACAAAGGAACAGGAAAAATGGCTAACCCTATCATAAGCCAATGAACAAAGAAAAGAAGCAACTAAAACCAGACTCCCTTTTGGGATAAAAACTGGTATAGTTGATAAAGTGTCAACTTGGGCATTTTAGAAGTTTAACTAAGCAACTCAGCAGGGAGCCAGGGTCCTTATTTGTCAAGAAGGCAGGGAGACGGTCTGCGTGCTATACCCATGGGATGGGGGGGTGGGGTACCCTGCTTACAGTATAAGGAAGAGGCTTGTTCTCCCCTTTTGCTCTTGATGTTTTTGCTGTTTTCTGCTGCCTTCAAGAGTTGCCCCATGTGTCATGTCACCTTGATTTAAAGCCAGCTGATGATGGACTGAAACCTCTATAAAGTGTGTACAAACTGTGAGCTCAATAAACCTTTCCTTCCTTAGTTTTGAGTGTCAGGTACTTTGTCCCAGCAATGAGAGAAAAGTAACTAAGACAAAAATCTAGGTCATACCTAGCATACATGAGGCCCTGAGTTCAATCCCAGCCCAGGGGTAGGGTGAAGCAGTCCCTCAAACGCAAGCATATGTCCCCACAAAAAGTTATACACAGATGTTCATTCAGCATTATGTATGATAGGAACAAATACCATGGCTATCAATCAACAAATGCCTAAATATCCATATAATGTTATATCATCTGACTATAAAGGGGAATAAAGTGCTGGGACAGTTTACCACAGGGATGAACTGTGAAAACATTGTGCTCAGTGAAATGACAACATATTGCATGGTTCTATTTAATATCAAATGTCCACAGCAGTCAAACCCAGAGAGTCAAAACACAGATTAGTGATTACCAGAGGTAAGAGAGTTGCGGGGAAATAAGAGTGACCACTAATGAGTATAGGGTTGATAAAAATGTTCCAAAATTCATCACAGTAATGATTTACAACTTTGTAAATGCAGGTTTTTTTAAACAGGTGATTTATTTTGTATATGAATATCTCAATAAAGATGGCATTTTTTTATAAATATAATGCCGTTCCATCAGAGGGTGAAAACCAGTGTTTGCTCAGCCACCAAATGCTGAGTTTGCTCTTTTCCCTTTCTTCTCCATCTTGTATTCATTTCGGTACCACTCACTGTCATCTTTATGTTCCCAGACACACTGGAGCATCAGGGATTCACACTTGTTGCACTTCAATCTGGAACGCTACTGCTCAGTCTTTGCTCAAATGTCACTTTCTCAGTGAGGTCTTTGCAGGCAACTGATTTAAAACTGCAGCCCTTCCAGACAAAAGCTATGCAAGTTCATTACAACTAACCTAGCTTTACAAGATATAGTAAGGGGAGTTCTTCAAGTTGAAATGAGAGGATACTAGTGATGTATATATCAACAAAACATACTATAAATTTATATTGTATAATTTTTGTCAATTATAATAATAAACCTATCCACCACCACTGGCACTCCTCATCTCCCTCCTCCTTTAGAACACTTAAAACTTCAGGTCATTTACTTACTAAGTGTGCTGTGTGCCACTCTGTAATAAATAGAACAGAAGATCTGTGATGCTTACAGGCCTTTACTGCTATAGCCCCAGAACACAGACCAGCATGTGACACTGAGTAGATATTATTTATTTACTGATGAATGCAGCCCTACTACAAACAAAATCTCTGGTTATTTTGTTTGATCTTCTCACCTTCTACACACTCAAAGCCTATCAATTCTCCAAAGCCATTTCAGACCACTGGCCTTTGAAAAAACTACTTCTATTCCTGGCACTGGATGTAAGCAAGGGTCTGTGCCTGATCCACAAACCCCCTGTTCCAAGGTATCCCCAGCCCAGGCAGTACATCTTTATATCCCTGCTGACAGGCCTTCATATGAACTCACACACCATTTACCTGAATCCTTGGCCTCTACAGAGGTGGAGAAAACACGATATACTGAAAAAAGTATAGTCATCAATCAGTCAACTCACTGGCTATGTGACCCTGAGAAGTCATTTAACATCCCTGTAAATAGTATTTTCATTTATGAAAATTAAGGCTAAGCATTTTATACAAATGTTCATCCCAACTTTATTCACAATTGCCCAAAATTGGAAACAGCCCAAATATCCATCAATAGAAGAATACACAATTAAATTATAATTTATCCATATTACAGAATAATACCAATACAAGGAATGAATATTAATACACGTAACAAAATAGAATCACAATTTTCTCTTCCATAGTATGACCTCTGGTTTACAAAGTTAAATGGAAAAATGCTGAAGTTCAAAGTTCAACTAGTTAAAACAGTACCTGATAAATAAGTACCCAAATTATTTCTGAAATATATAAAACCAAGCACATAATAGATTCCCAATATTTCCCTCTTTTCCCAATTTCCCTTACATTAGGGAGCTTTTCTGTACTACCTTTTAAGATGCTGAAGAAAGGATCACTAATTCAGTGTTCTCTTCCCCTCCTTACCACAGTCCCTTATGAACAGTAGGTACTTTTCACATGACTGAAAAAAAAGATAAGAACACCAGATGGCTCATGGATTATGCAGAAATACCTCCTTTTGGTCATTCTGCAATCAGTGAAGACACATAGTTTATCAGCCTGGTCTTTTTATCACTATGTCTTCTGCATTACTGTTCAATTTGGCACTTGACAGACTACTGTCTCTACCTCTAAGCTGAAAGTCAATCATGCACTTGAAATACATGATTTTCTTTCTTTGTCCCTTGCTTAAATCCAGGATAATTCTATGGACAAACAGGTACTACAATATGTATATTAATAAATACAGTAGTACCTTGGTTCACAAACTTGATTATTTCTGTAATTCTGGTTATAAACTAAGATGAACAAGAACCAAATCAAATTCAATAGGTAGGTTCAGTGTCAACCTTATCAGAAAATTTGAGGTTCTTACCCAGTTCTGTTTGCAACCAGAATCATAGAGAGAATTGAGTCTGTGAATTGAGATACCATTGTATAAGGAGGCATGTATGTTTCACAGTAGAGTATTTAAATATCACAAAGGTTTTCTAGGGGATAATCCTCTTAATATGAATTTAGAAACCAATTAAAAGCTGGGACTACACATATTTATAATCTGAGGACTCAGGAGGGGTTTGCCATGAGTTCAATGCCAGCCTGAATTAGATACCGAGACCCTCTCTCAAAACATATCTCCCCCCAAAAAAATAATAAATGCCAATTGAGAGACAGAGTGCACAAGATAAATTGCAAAAACACATATCAGGTTAAATAACACTGGGTACAAGGTTGTGTCCTCATTTTTTTAAAAAAGTACATGAAGGGATAATATGTACATGAAAAGATGACGAAATCATTAGTCATTAGGGAAATACAAATCAAAACTACTATGAAATACCACTTCACATCTACCAAGTCACCATCAAAAAGACAAAAATGTTGGAGAGGATATGGAGAAACTGGAATCCTCATACAATGCAGTGGGAATTTAAAATGGTATAGTTGATTCGGTAAACAATATGATAGTTACTACAGGACTCAGAACTACTATATCTTCACGAAAAATGAAAATACAAGTCCACACAAAAACTTATATAAGAATGTTCATAGGAACATTGCTCATAATAGCAAAAGCAACCCAAGTGTCCACCTACTGACAAATGGATAAAAAAAACATGATATGCCCACACATAGAACGAGATTCAATCACAATCAGGAAGGAAGTGCTAATACATGAGACAGTATAGATAAATCTTGAAAACATGACAAACAAAAGAATCTAAACACAAGAGACCACAAAATATATGACTTCATAATGTACTACATCCTGAATAAGCAAATCTATAGAAACACAAAATAGATTAGTGGTGGGCTGCTGCAAGGGACAAGTTGGAAAAAGAAGAAAGATGGCGCCATGGAAAGAGAATAACTACTGTTACAGAGTTTCACATTAGGGTGTTGAAAATGTTCTAAAATTAATTTTGGTAATTGATGCACAACTCTGTTAATCCTTTAAACACCAATGAAGTCTGTACTGTAAATGGATAGATTTTACATATGTGAAATATAGCGTAATAAAGCTGCTTTAAAAACAAAAAACTTTTTTCTAACCCAAATTTTAGTTGCTCTTCTATGTTATTTTTCTTAACTAAGTACCACTCATCCTATTTCTTACATAGTTTATCTTTAACCACATTTTTATTTAAATTTTAAAAAGAAAATTCGTTAACACCAGCATACATGTAAAAGCAGCTAAAATAAAGTAAATGTGGATCTAGCAGTGGTATTCAAATAAATGCAATATGAGAAGCTCTGGGCTGCAGCAAATAATGGTCAAGCACAAAAATAAATAAATAAAAGAAGTCAATATCAAGGAATGAACACTAGGACTGACTGGTTCTATAAGGTGCCAGAACAAGCTGGTGCCTATGGCAATCGAAGCCTCCATTGTCTCAGTTCTGTCCTGCAGTCCCAGAATATCTGTAGAGACATCTGAGAGTCCTAGAGACAGAAATGTGAAGATTGCCTAAGAGCCAGGAAAGGTTTCTTTCTTTTCATCTTCTGAGTTTGGATACACAGGCTGTAAAGAAGAGAGGAGTTAAATGGCAAGCCCATAGGCAGGAGAAGCCTGCTAAGAGCACTACTTCTAAAATCACAGGTTCATCAAGCTGAAATTGCATAGCACATTTATGAACTGTTCACATATTTGCTAACAGATTATTTGAAAACTGAGATTTATAATCACAGTTACTCTTCAATGTTCACAAAATCTATCACCCATGTTTTTGCTTCTTTAAGTTTAAGAAAATCTGCATGTATGGCTTTCTGAGTCCAGTACCTAAAAAATGTTGTTATAGATGCACTTTAAAAATTATAAAATTATCAGTAACTTTTCACATTTTTGCTAAATGGAAAGAAACTGTATTATGGTTTTTAAAAATGAGTATTTGGAAGAATAATATGGCCATTTTCTAATGCCTTGTTCCTTAGTGAGGTTTTCAATTATTTCTATACATACTGTCATGAATACATTACCAAAGGCATTTACACCAGGCAGGTGCTGTGCCACTGAGCTATATTCCTGACCCTCTTTCAAATAAATTTTTAAGGCAAATTCTACAAAACCTATTATCAATCAGTAAAAGCCAAACATATTTGTGAAAAAGGCCACTGCCTAGCTGAAATTGCAAACACAACTTGTTTTTTGAGATAGGGTCTCAGTATGTAGCCCAGGCTGGCCTCAAACTTGAAGCTATCTTCCTGTGTCAGTCTCTGAAGTGCTAGAATTTCAGTTGTGCACCACCACTCCTGGCTCAGAATTTTATTAATTATGTATTTTAATTTTCATTATCCAAGTCACTTGCAGTTTTCATATCTACAATTTCAGAAATGCCAATTCCATAACAGATATCAGATTGCACCATTAGAAGAAATTCTGTTAAACTTCTCACTAAATAACACCACTGCTCTCTAAGTGTATAAGGAATGTTCAAAGGTGATTCTTCTCCTTTACAACTAGGTTGAGCTGTAGTTGGGCACGAATGTGAAAAAAAGAATCTCAAGTCCTTTCATCTTATTTACCTTTGAAAGATTCCTGAAAAGGGGCTAGAGATAAAGCTCAGTGGCAAAGCACCTGCCTAGCAAGCGCAAGGTCATAAGTTCAATCCTCTGTACCAATAAATAAACATTATAGTAAAAAAGAAGGTCCTGAAAAGGAGTTGAATGAAGGCATTGTTTTACTATCACATTAATCATTTGATTCTTAAGTGCTAATGAGGCATGAAGGAACAGCACTTTTTAAACCTGCTAAAGACACTATATCCTTGAGATTCCCAACCACAAAATTATTTATTTACAAACACATTTGTATGGTAACACTGATTATGCTCCACAACTAGATGTTTAAATACAGTACTATACGGTCTCAATATTTCTCTCCCCTCAAAACTAACATGTTGAAATCCTAGCTCTCAAGGTGATGGAACTCTGGGAAATAAGAACTGAAAAGAGGGTAGGGCCCTCAAAAATGAGATTAATGTCTCCTATGAAAGAGATCTTTCCCCGTTCTGCCATAAGAGAATACAGCTGGAAATTGCCATTTGTGGACCAGGAAGAAGGGCACCACCAAAGCTGGAATCTGCTAGCACCTTCATTTTGGACTTCCTGGCCTCTGAAACTGTGAAAAACAAATCTTTCTTATCAATAAGCCAGCCAAGGGTATTTTATTATAGGATGTCAAATGGCATAAGCACACAGTTTTTTAAACTCAGGTCACAGGAGTGGGAAAAAATGAATGAACAGTATTTGCTGAATGTTGTAGTCAGGGGTTGTGAGGAGAACAATTAGAATCAGGACACAGAATTCATATTATTATTTTATGATGGTCACCCAGAGTTTAACACAAGGAAGTACAGGAAATCTGTCCACAACACTAACAACTCAGAATATTCAACCAAGGGCCTGGATTTCATAGCAATGTCCTCCATGAGTCCAGATGAAAACCTAGAGCCCACGCCAATACCTCCCACGAGTCCAACTGGAGTCTAGAACCCACAAGAAGGACTCATGAGAGTCTATTTTACAGATAAGTGCTGGGAAGACCCAAAGGTCATCGGTGGAAGCTAGAAAGTCCATGCTAGCGGGGTGAAGGAGTTGTGCTGGTACATTAAGGATTCTACACTGGAGCCGAGAAGTCACACTCATAATAAAGGTCAGGGCTGTCCTGGAAAGCACTACAGTCATTCTCAGCAACACAGAGGTCTGCAGCTCCTCTGACAATAAGAACAGTCAAGTACATGCCAAAAAGCTAGCATGATGAGTTTGTCATGGAAATTAATAGGCACATGTCTTCCCCTCCACAGCCAGGAAGTGATGCTGGATGTAAGGAGCAGAGCTTCTCCAGGAGAACCAATGGCTCAAAACAGCAACACTTAAGAGAAACCCACAATGCCTTTCTTCTCCTTCTCCAGGTCTCTATTTATGTTGGCAACTTTCCTCAGATGGAACATCTACGCTCAGCATCATGTTGATTTAATTCAGCTGGTGTTAAGTTGATCACCAATTTTTAATCCATAACACTGAAGTTGCTTTAAATGTTACAGACACCTCAGTTATCACTACCAATCAGTTTATGAGATGCAAATTATCCCTACACTACAGAACAGGAAAACTCAAGGCTAGAAAAATTAATCTGCCAAAGGACAAGTGTGGAGAGACTGTGACTCAAACTCAGATTGGTCTGCTTTTGAAGGCACCATATCATCCTTTGTTCCACAAAGATAACTTTCCAACTCACATTAAAAATTCGATTTATATAATTCAGTGAGAGAATGCTTACATAGCATTCTGCAAGGTCCAAGGTTCAATCCCCAACACCACACACACACACACACACACACACACACACACATTAAGTAATAAAAATAATTCTTTGATGGGTTATTACTCCAATGATTTCACTATTCAATCTCTGACAATACATTTTGAGTAAAAGACACACAGTAGTTTACAGAAAAGAAAATAGCATCAAAGCTAGGCCAGAGTGAGGTTCTAGCTAGACTACTAAACTGAGCTCAGATAGTTCAGTCCCAGATCTGACAGCCGGTGATGAGGAGCAAGCTATAAACTCTCAGCCCCGCCTTGGATTGCTTAGGACAAGTGATGTTGATTAAATAAACCTGTAAATTACAGTTATATAAGGAATCTCTGTCACTTCTGTGAGATGAAGACAGGAAACTGCCGTTTTCAGGACAGTAAGTTGACACAAATGAGAAACCTGCACAGAAAGCCTCCAGACCTTGGGCAGGCGGGCGCTTGACAGCAGCAGGTGCAGCATGGAGCGCTCTTTCTGCCGCTGTCTCACAACCCCGAGCCCATACCGAATCCGGCCTCTCCCGGGGCACGAGTGGGAGACACGCGCGGTAAGGTGTGAAGACAGATCCAGGAGGACCGCAACAAGGGAGGGCGGCCTGCGACCCCAGGAGACAGGCCTGGGTGACAGCAGACTCTGCAAATCCGAGCCTGCCCAGAGTCCCGAGCCCACGATGGCGACCACCTGTCCCTAAGGCACGAAGAGGGGATTCCGAGACCCCAGCAGCCCAGACACTGCAAAGCCGGGGACCCCCGCCGGGGCCTGAGGAACACTTGCCAGCCCGCACCGCGCTACTGCTCGGCCTCCTCAGCAGCCTGGCTCCCCGCCCCCAGCGGCGCCCTTGCCCCGCTCCGCCCGCGCCCAGGTGAGAAGAGGTGAGCTGCGCCGCCATCTTGTCCCCGGCCCCGCCACACCACCGCCGCCCGCGCCCCAGGACCCTCTCAGACACTCACCTCGCGGCCCTGCGCAGTACGGGCGGCTCCGCGCGTCCCACGGGGAGAGGCGGGACTAGGCGGGATGGTTAAGAGGGGCGGGGCCGGACGGCCTGCGGCGCGCCACGTGACTCTGGCGCACTCTCGGCACCGGCACGCAGGCGCAGTTGAGTCCACACCACCGGAGCACCGGGCTGAAAGTGGAAGTACTGCTAGGACTTGTGCCGCGCAGTTCATTATATGTGCATGGCTCGCACCACCGTCTCGGCTCTTCGGTGCACACCCTCGCCTGTCTCATCACCTCAGTCCGCCAGAGGTGCACTTCAAAGCCGCACGCATGAAAGCCAACGCGTGAAAGCCACGGCGAGGACACATATGACCTTTAACCTATTAATAGGCGGCATAACACTGATCAGTTAGTGCGTGATTTTAAAATCACAGCCCCTTTGTTCTGTTTTGTTTTTATTCTCTTTAAAACAAAAAATAATAATAATGAAATTTTTAAAAATCACAATCCCAAACTAGCCAGGGAAAAGCTGCACTTGCCTGACAAGCATGAGATTGTGAGTTCAATCCCCAGTAACCCCCCAAAACAATCATTAAATGAGGAGTGTCTTACTATGACTGAAGCTATGGGCCCATTCCCCCTCCACTCATCTGAATTTGGGAACATCCCAGGGCCAACCCTCCCCCTGTATTTATCCTAAGGAGACAGAAATAAGAAAAACAAAGACCCTATGGAAATTCCTAGAATTCTATGCCAGGAGGCATGTGTGAAAGAGCAGCTGTGCATTTTTCATCTTTCCTTTTCATTCATATCATTTTTCCTTTCTAGTTCCCATGACCTAATGGCATGGAGTTTAGCTTTATCAGAGGATGCCCTGAGGCAGCACAGGTCAAGAACTGATCCAGAGGAAACTTTGTAAGGTTCTTAAAACATAATTCTTATTGTTCCTGTCCACAGACTCATAGGGAATGCCACATCCATGCTACCTGACTCTATGCTTGAATGCCTTTTCATGCAGTCCCTAGAATAAATTTGATCCCTCCCAAAGGCTAACTTCTTACCAACCTGCACAGCCAAACCCCCCACCCCAGGAAATAAAGACAACCTCCTAGGCCTACCCCATACTAGGTCTGGATCTGTCAGAAAACTCAACAGTTAAGCCTCCCACCATTCTAACCTTTTAAAAAGTGACAGATGTAGATGGTACTTTACTTCTGACTTCAGATCTTTTTCCTCAGTCATGGATGTTTAGCAATGCACAAAGAAACTGGGAAAAATTTTCAGAGGACTCTAAAAAGTGCTAACTGATCCCATACCACTCTGACAATGGCTTTTGACCTGACCTGATGAGATGTCTACATCATCCTAGTACAGAAAGAGGATTATAAGAGCTTCAAAACAGGCCAGTGAAGAGCTTTACCCAATGATAAGCAGCTAATTATGTGTTATTTGGACCCCAAGAAGGATCTAGGTGATATTACAACACTGAGAGTGGAAAAACCAAAGGAAGATTATATATTCAGGCTGCCTTACTGGGCATAGACAAGGACAGGTCCACACCTGTAAATTATGATGTCACTCAGGGCTCTGATGAAAATCCTGCTGCTTTCCAGCACCAACTTGAAAATAACTCTGTAAATACACTAATTTAATCCTGGTGACTAGAAAGGGCCAAATTATCTTGGGACAGTATTTTATTAACCAATCAATTCAAGATATTGGGAGGAAACTCCAACAAAACGCCTATAAACTAGGATAAGTCAATTGGTCAATGTGATTTACACTGTCTTTAACAATCTTGACAAAGAAAAGGACAAATGGGAGTTAGGTACAGAGAAATACCAGGCTAAAACCAAACTAACGTGATAAGTGAGGCTCATAATAAAGTTTATGCCACTAAGGAGAATCAAGATAATCCAAAGGGTGATGGAGGTAAATTTGAGTACTCCAAGTGCAAGTGATCAGGGCACTGGGCAAAGAAGTGCCCTCAAAAGTCACCAAGTTTTTGCTGAGCCTGCCTGAACACGGATAGAGACCCTTGACACTGGAGGAGAGACTGCCCTCATTCCCGAAATGGGATGAGCTCATCCACCATCATGGTGACCAGGGAAGAATGCCCTGATGGTGAATGACAGTGCCCAACGTGGCCTGTGTGGCCCACACACAAGGACATCTTCATCACCTTTCAGGAGCCATGGGTAACTGTGGATGTAACAAACAGCAGATTCATTCCTTCTCCCTACTGGGGCATCTTACTCAATTCTGACCTCTTACTGGAGTGAGTTATCCTCAATTGTTGTGGGCCTTGAAGGAGTTAACCAGTCAGTTTTCTTTACCGTCTCTGAAATGCTGATAGGAAGATTTTTTTTTTGTAAGCTGACTTCATGGTAATACCAAAATTCTCTATACCAGTAGTTGGAAGAAACACTCTTCCTTCTCAGGGCCACTTTATCATTCAGTCCTCTGACAACCCATTGTTGCCAGGGACCCAGCCAGCCTACTTAACTGGAGTTTCTGTTCCAAAATAAAGAAAGAGGCTCTCTGACATACGATTGATATAATCTGAGTTACTTGTCATAAACTGTCATAAGATTGGGTATGCATACCCATCATCAATTAAAAGTGATATATAGAATAGGCTTGAACACATCAAAAAGACACAGAACTCCAGGAAAAGTTATCTGTCACTCCGTGTTGAAGGAAAAGAAACTTAGACCTGGTTTAAAGATAAGTCCGCATAATACATTGCCATCAGTCAAAAATGGATTACTGTGATCCTACTATTCTATTCAGAAATGGCTCTGAAATAAAACGGTTCAAGGCAATCTTCTTGGTGAGGGAAAACTGTGGACAGCACATCTGGATGTCCACTTTACTTGGAAGGAATCATGAGCTGAGCCCCAGATCCATTCTGACTCCTAGGTAATGGCTAATGGTTTTTCCTGTTACTCAGAGACTTGTAAAAACAATATTGGAGTATTGGTAACAAGGAAATCTAAGGAAAAATGGTATGAGAAGACATGTCAGAAGTGATGAGTATTAAGAAAACTTTTGTGCTCCACGTGAATGCTTACCCAGGGGCCCCCACAGAATAGTCAAATGGACAATCAGACTTATTCTGTGGACACTGGTGAACTTGTTTATTAAGTGATGCCAGACCCTGTGAAGTTGACCCTTGCATTACTAGCTGTGGCCAGGATGAGGCCACCAATGGTATTGACAACATGGACTTTCTTCTCTGAGACAGAAGACCAGCCTGACAACAGCAGGAGCTAACATGGTGTCCCTGATATATAGAGCACCACTCCTCAGGACACTGGGGCCATGTTGATTATATTAGATTTCTTTCATCACGGAGGGATGGAGATTATCCTCACTAGAATAAACACATCTTTGCTTTCAATATCCAAAGTGATTGCACAGTGTCACCACCTGTGGATGTATGACATGTCATAATCCTATGATTCATTGTTATTTTATGATGTGCTTGGTTGTTTCTTATCAAGAATCTCATTTGAAAGCAAGAGAAACAAGATCATCCTCTTAGAATTGACTAATCTTATTACACACTTCATCATCTGAAAACAAGTGACTTGGTAGATTGGTGTAATGGCAAATTGAAGCCATAATTGGTGCACCACTGGTGAGATATGTCCTGCAAGATCAAGCACAGTCCTACAGGCTCAAGCAGATTCTTGGAGCCAGTGACCAACAGATGGTGCTGTTCCTCTACAACCAAAATACCCAGGTTCTGGAAACTATTAAACCTAATGACCCATTGACAAAATTTAGTTTCCTTTCTCCACGACTTTAGATTCTCTTAGTTTATAGATTTTTGTTCCTATTTCTTGTTCTTGTACAGAGAAAAGATCTTAGGAGAAGGTAGCTTATCTGAGAGGTGATTCCAGTGAGCATAAATAGGAAAAAATAGAAAAATGAGTCAGAGATGAGATCAGTAATACCGAGCAAATGACCATTGTGAACTACTGAAGGTCAATCTCATCAAGAACCCTTGGAGAAACAAGTGTTAGGATTATCCTTCTGGAGGATGAGAAAGCAAGGCATATGCCCACCAACTACCAGTCATAGGCCATTACCTTCTTGATATTCCTGGACTGTGTTTTCCTTTGTCAAAGCACTAGAGAAAGAGAACCATTATATACTGCAGCTATGGGCAAACTCAGGTAGACTGAGGGGAAATGGGGAGAGGCAGCTCCTTAATGGGCTATAATTCCAAAGAGAAATGTGCTTTCATCATCCAGGAACATAATGATGTTGTTGTTGAATACAAATTGAAACTGTCACCTGACTATTTTAGGGTCTTCGTGCCACTAAACCAACATGCAGAGGAGGGTTTACAATACAGGATGGAGTAGTCAGTTACAATTAAAAAGGGAAATTTGGGTTGAAGTATGCAATGAGGACATGGAAGACCCTAGCAAAAACCTAGGAAATTACTGGAGACCCATTTTGTTTTTCCATCTTCAACAAAAATACGAGAAGGAGAACTCAATAAAGACAAGACTCAAGAAAAGCAAGACCACCAAGAACTCAGATCCTGCATGAACAAAGGTTTGTGTTACTATCAAGATAAAGGTCCACAACTAGCCAAAGACTAAGAGCAACGGGAATATGGGAAAAAGTAGTGACAGCAGGAAGTGATAAGTATCAACTTTATGCTTATAAGTGGTTTAAAGTAATGACTGAGAGGGGCTGGGGATTTGGCTCAGTGGCATAAGCACCTGCCTTGCAAGCAGGCAGTCGTGGGTTCAATCCCTGGTACTGATAAAAAGGAAAAAGGCAAAAAAAAAAAAAAAGTAATGACTGAGGAGGGTATGCATTCTTATTTTACATTAAAATTAACCAATTCTCCCTTCTATACTATTTTATATAAAATATACCAATGGTATTTTGCTTAACCAATTAGTGTACGTCACTAATCTCATTCATGTTGAAGACACCACAGGGCATCTTCATTTGGGAAATGTATAGTCAGTCACATGCTATTAGAAGCACAGAGTTGTCATAATGTAGGAGATAAATATGTTG